GTTGCAAACGTTCAGCAGTAAGCTTTTGCGTTAGCTCTGCTGATAGAAGATGTATTAGGATTTCGTGCTGATATGTGATATTAGCATTTCTTGCTATGTGCAAGTGAGTGATTGGGTTGTCTGACATTTGAAAATATCTATTTATTACAACTCTCAAACTCTGTAAGCTGCTGCTTAAATAGAGTACATGGAGAGAGAGAGAGCAAGCTTCTGTTTGAATTTCTAATGGACTGTTTTATCCTGATGGGTGTATGAAAATTACATTCATTTGTAGTATAAGATCAAGACTGCACTCGATTCCTATTTCGCACAAAGGTAGATGTCATCTGTTTACATGACTTAAAAAAAATCTGTATCTCATAAAGGGAAATGAATGCCTTTAGTCACATTACAAGGGAAAACAGTTTTGTTTTTGTTGACGGTACTCGGCTTCGTATCTGTAAAATTAATCACAAGAAGTTCTCTGATTGATCTGGCTTTTCTAGGTCACTGAGCTATACTTCCAAAGTGTTTATACAATCTATTGGAATCAATAAACAATTTAAACTGATGTAACTGCAGAATGTTTGCAAGTCCCAAGGAAAATTGGATGTATGACAAAGAATACAGCGGCAGAAGTTTATTTCATTTACCAGGGCAAACAGTCACTGAAATGAAATGACTTTTTCCTCTGACATTGTAATAGAATACTGACACCTTAATCACATAAATAAGTAGCCGGTGGCTTTAAAACACATTATTAGTGGGTTTAGGCAAATGCAGTTCCTTTTATTTATAGTTTAAGCAACTGTGCTCTAAAACCTATTTTATTAAACAAAATCTCTAATAGGAGTTAGCACATCATAAAATGGTTTCAATTTAGCTGATGGGTGTTGCATTTCAGGCATCGTTTTATTTTAGGATGAATTTTGGTGGGTGTAAATATTAACATTATGACTTAAAATGTGGTTTAGACTTTATAGTTATTATTAAAATTAGTAAAGATACAAGCAAAACTAATTAAAAAGGAGCTGATGCTGTTTTTAATCATATTTAAGGTTTTGATTTTTGTAAATTAAGTTCACAGCTTATGTGATTGGCAAATATTTCTTATACCACAGTGCACACTAGTGGTTCTTCAGTAAAATCACTGAAGAAATGTATATAATTTTTGAACTAAGTACTTACATTTTCTGCTGCGATACACAGGCACATCTCAGATGAATGAGTACAATAGCAAGTTTGATTACATCTTTTTCCACGATAGAGCAGCTGAATCCCAAAGTGTATTTATAAACATAAGATCAGCAATAGGGCTTTGAAAGCCAACACATGCTTTTCAGAAGCTATTTCCTGTTTCAAAAAAGCAGACATTGCAGATGATGGCAACGTGTTCCAACCTCTTTCTAGCATCAATAACATGCAAATACGAAGAATTGCAGGAGCTGTATAAATGAGACAAAGGGCTACTCTTCTGAGAGTTTACATTTCATTTGTGCAAATGGGAAATGGCACACTTGAATTGCTAGCAAAATACACAATTTACATGCACACAATTCAGCAGTTGTTCCCTTTAATGCAAGGGTTTGTAAATGATAAGAGGAAGCTTAAAGATCATCATACCCACACTGCCCTTCTGTATTGTTTCACTTCTGCCTCATCTGGTTCACTATACATTGACCATTTCAGTGGAGCTACAGGTGTCTAGCAATTTGTTTGACAACAATAAATTGTAGCACAGCACATCACTTACTCTATAAAGGAAATAGAGCCTCCACTGGCTCGCTCAATTTTTGTAGACCTTTATCCATTATTACAATGGTTTGCTGACTTTTCTTCTAAGAAAGAGTAAACTATTTTGCTACCTAAGTTTTCAATGTTCAAACCTGCAGAAAAATGGAATAAAATGAGCTGCTACTACCCACTGCTGGGTTCTAAATTAACTCTGACAATTCAAGAAAGTGACACTGGTGCTGTTGTATCCAGCATAATGAAAACCACAGTTGGATGTGTCGGGATGGTCAAAAAAAAAAAAAAAGTTAAACTATGTGAAAGTTCAGCTACTGAAAATATGCCACTATGAAAAAAATCAGTGATGACCTTCAGTTGAAATACTGTCAGTCTTGAGCCCCCCTCTTTCAAAGCAGCGATAGGTGGAGGGTGTCAGAACTGGATAACAAAATCAGTGATTAGATGGGCAGAAATATTCTGTAGAAGGATAGACTGAAAAGATTGGGACAGTTCAGAAAAGAAAGTTTATGGTGATATAACAAAGCGAATAACTTTAGAACAGGTAAATTACATTCAGGGATAGGAGGAAAGGACAGTAACCCTGCCCTGAGAAATAACGGGATAGCATACCTGTTATTGAAGTTTCTTAATTAGAAGTTGGTTGTTTTCTGAGACGCGAGTGTAATTCATGCCCGAGGCTTTATGTATTCCAAAAATCCTATCTACCCATCATCAATTCTAGTTCACCTACTTGCAAAAGCTTTGCGAGGAACAAAAGAGTAGTCATTTTTCCTTTTATCTGTCTTGCAACTAAAACTAGTCAATCCAAAATAATAGGCAGTGCTACCAGCTGTGCCTACAATTATTAAGGGTAACTGATACTTTCCTTTATAACATTGGGGTTTTTTGCTTGCTTGTAACTTCGCAAGCTGCTCATTTTGGGATGAAATGTTTCTTGCTGAATGTCTGCTTCAGACTGACTGAAATTTCAGCCCAGCTAATTCAGCTCTTTAGAAAAATTGAAAAATACGGGGTGGGGACATGAGCTTGTTTCCTGCCCCTATAAAAAATGATGGTAAGTTTTCTTTTCCTTGAAAAGCTCTGGTGCCTCCATTCTTTGGAGCAGGGTTTTGAATTTTGGCAGGGCATATCAGGGGTGTGACATGTGCTGTCCCTAAGATCGCCTGCCAAATTTGGCCATATTCAGTCTTTTTTTTTTTTTTTTAAATGACACTTTGCACATGCTCAGCGACATCTAATATTTGTAGCAGCTAAAATCTGAAGATGTATATCCCCGGTGAGAATGCACCTTTCCCTCACAGACTCTTCCTCCTAATCCACCTTCAGGGAGCCATGGAGCCTAGAAGAAAAAGATGTCCGATTGAAATGCAGAGGATAAAAGCTAGGAGAAGGAAAGGAATAGGTTAAGATGAGTGAGACTGGGGTTGGAGGTGAGAGAAGAGGCTAGGGCTGAGTGGGAGGGAAGACTGGCTAGGAAATGGAGTTGGAGCTGAGAACCAGGCGGCCGTTGAGATCAGATGATGACCCAGGAGACGGTGAATTGAGAAGGGCCTGGTAAGCAGACTGGGACTAGGAATTGGTGTTTGCGGGGTGTAGAAGCTTTGGTTCTGACAAGTGAGGGTTACAGGGAGAGACCTGGGAGTGGCTAGGCAGAGAGACTAGGACAAGGGATCAGGAATGATGGAGACAAATTGGATGAGGTGTCTGCATGGGGGAGGATGAGCGTTGGGGATGCTTTTTTAAAAACCTGAGTTACCACACTCAAATGGCTCATGCCTCTCTGAACTGTTTAGTCTCAAAGGGCCTTGTTACATGGTAATTTTGGCTGGCTCCTGGACCTCTTAACCCCTGGATTGTCTGCACATTACCACCTTAAAGTGGTTTTAAGCACTCATTATGCGGCTTAAAGTTACGCCACTCCAGGACAGGTTTATCTTGCGCACAAGCCAACTCCTGTTCAATTAGGATATGGCCACCCCCCAGTTGTGCCACCCAAATTGAAGTCCTCCAGTATCCCAGGATCTCTCATGCCACCACCTGTAGAGCAGGGATAGTAGACCCTTCTGGCTCGCCAGCATCCTAGCAGCAACTCATAGCTACGCCTCCTAGTTTTGCCCCAGCTCACCAGGCCTCTAGTGGCAACTCATCTGTGCAAATGGGGGGCAGTCAAAAGGTTTCTAGATTCTGGGTGTGACTGCTGCAGACTCCAAGCTAACACTAATACCAGCATTTGTGTGGCTCACGGCATAAGGTGTAACAGGGCCCTAAGGTATCATCCTGCCCTACTGACTTCAAATTGACATGGCTACCTCTCTCAAACAGGGGGTGTTAGAACTATATTACAAACACATTACATTTTGCAAGCTAAGTATCAAAGCCAGGATATGGAAGAAGTAAGGTTATTTGTGTAATCTTAACTTGGCCCCTTTTCCTACAATACCATTGCTGCCTGCAACTTTAATACGTTCTTTAATGCAATTTTGCACGTGGTAAAATGAGTAGGTAAGCAACAGAGAATAAATGAGTAAAATTTCAAAATCTTATTTGCCCCCCTTCATGATCTGAGCATAACTATTAATATGAAAAGTTAACTGCCAACTTCTGAATGCATGGCAAAAAGATAAAATTGTAATCTCATTTTTAATTACCTTTTTGAGTAAGCTGGAACAAATGTGCTGCATGTCATGAAAGAACGCAATCCCAACAGTTGCTTTTGTGTTAACAAATGGGCAATTTAAAAAACAAATCAGAGAATAAACACTGCTGTACAGTGGAGTATGTGATCTTGCAGTTTCATAAACTATTTTGTAACCTCCATAGATTATTTTAATTTGCATAAATTGGGGTTTATTCACCTGTTGAGCCCTTCCTGTGGAAAAGATTTCATGTGTGCAGTGCCTCATTTAAGAAGACGAAATGAAATGCCATTTTTGAGAATGGAATAATTGCATAGGATTCATATTCCACAGGGATAATACAAGGATTGCATATAAAATGGTACAGTAACAGAGCAACACAGAGCAAACGCTGATAACTTGTGTGTGCACCATTTGAGTTGTGCATATCTGTTCATCATATGTCCCTTTGAAATGTTTCCTTAGCCAACTCACAAAGGAAAAAGAGACCTAGATATCTTGACCTTTCATGGGCCCTAAATAAAAGGGGAATAAAATGGATTTCCTGCTTTAAAAACTTCAGAACAAAAAGTCTGCTCCTTTTTAATAAAGATATATTTCTATTTATTTATTTATTTTCCCTTCCTCCTACAGATTTAACTCTGATTGGTCTACACCTGCAAATGGAGAAGAGATCCATAAAAGAGTGAAAAATATTTTAAGAACACACAGTGCTAGGCAAAAGCTGACTTTTGTAAGTTTTTTAATATCCCAAACTAAAAGCCTCCCCTTTCCCCATGTCCCACAAAACATATACACGGGGGCAGACATGCTTATATTCAAGGCTTTATTAATATATTTCTCTTCTGTGGACTCTGAAACTTGATTCTGCACACAGTTGAGCAATGTCACATGCAACGAGTTGCATCCTTGGTGGACAGGTGGTATGGGTAGCATTCTCGTGGAGCATCAAGGGGTGGTTAATCTTTACATTTGTCTCCTGTCTCCAATTTAAGAAAAAAAAAGCCTCATAGAAGTGTGTTATGTGGCTACAGAAAGTCAAAGGCTTAACTTCTGAGTAGCTTTATCTCAGCAGCTGGTTGTGTCCAGCTGTTAATATTATTTCTCAAATGCACACTTTTTTGTTAATTACCTGGCTTTCTGTGAATAGTGGCAGAAGAAAGAACTCTATCAAATTAAATCATGCCCTGGATCAGACTGTTACATCCTTCTGCCTGTTTGAACTTCAGAGTGTTTGCAGTCAGATAAATGACCTCATTCTCTTCCCGTGTGTCCGAGTCCTTGAAATGTAGGCCAATAATTCTTTTTTAAAAGTTAAGCTTCCAAGTCCATTAAAGTGATTCTGCTCTGGAGAGTGACTTTGTAAAATTGGCATCAAGAGGTTCCATACTTGTGTGTTACTGTCTCCAGGGGTCAGTACATTTACAAGTAAAAATTTTATTCTAACTCAGCTCAGAATCTGAGCATCAGTCTGGCCTCACCTGGAATGTGCTTCCTCAACACAATTCTGTTGTTGAAACTCGATTAACAAATCAGTTACATCAGACTAGAGTCCATGGTTATGCTATCTTTTTAGAATGATTAGGAGTAAAATGTAGTCAAACACTTAATTGGAGAAATGAGTAGATTCATGAATTGTGATGATGCTTATTTTCCTATATTAAGTGTGTGTGTGTGCATGCTGTTTAAATCCATAGAACTCAAAGGACTTAACAAAAGAGCTAATGATAAAACGATGTTTAGCCCTTTTAGAGATGGAGAAATTGAGGCATGCAGTGGTGAACCGAGTTTCTTTGGGTCATCCAGTAGGTCAGTGGGAGAGATAAGGATAGAAACAGTCTCCTGACTCATACAGCTGCCTTATCCAAAGACAGGAAAAGGCCATTTCTGCTTAGCACTTTTTGGAGAACCACACTTTATCAGCCAAGTGGCAATGTACCTGAGAGGTCTTTTTAAAGCACTTTTCATCTCAGCGCAATTTGATACCTTCTAAAAGCCAAAATAAGTTACCCAAAGCACAGTAAATTTTGTGCCTTATATCTTTTCTTTATTTAGATATTACGCCCTTTATGGGAAGGACTAATCTTTTTGTTCTGTAGTTATGCAGTTTCTAGCATAGTCATGTCCTAGAGCATGACTAGGGACTGCTGCACTTATACAAAACAAAGTTAATGTGCTATAATCACTAAATTCTTTCACTGTGATCTATTCATTTTGGTAATTCCCCTTTTTATTATCCACACTTGCATGAGTTGATGCTGAGGATGCAGATATTTTTGTTTTGGAGATCTCCTGTCTTTGAACATGCCCCTCACTATGTTCTACTGCAACTTCTATCTAATTTTGTTTCCTGTTGCCCAGTCTAAATTTGTACCTCTGTTCATGGTGTCCATGTGCTTTACATCTGGTATTTCATGCCCTCTGCAGTCCACCCAAAATCTATGTCTGCTCTGTGAAATGTTTCGTCTTGGTGCCCTCTACCCACTCTTTTGTATGTTGCACTATATAGCACCCGCTATGACTTTAGTCTCCTGGATTGGTATGTATATTGTGCCTTACTGTAAAGAATTATTAGTGCTGTATATAACTTGCTTACACAAAGGGATGAGATAAAATTTTCAGTGATCAGCTTTCTACCATATTTGTGAAGTCCTGTGACTTCTTGTGGAACAAGAACAAAAAGTTTGACTTACAAAATTACTAATCTAGAAGCTAATTCACAGAAGTAAGTGTTTGTTTCTTTACAAATAAAAGACGTGCACTCTGGAACCTCATCAGATTTATACATTTTTAGTTTAAATCTGTGCGTTACAGGTTATACTTATGTTTGTTCCAGTCTATTCACATGTGAAATATTAATTTCTTTTTCCACCCTTGGTTATTTTATTTTTTTTTAATTATCGGAGTGCTCTTGTGCCTGTTAAGATGATTGGATCTGTACATACTGTTCCTTCCCTAAATTGGTACACAAACTTAATGACCTTATCTGAACTGCAGCCTGTTAAATACAAGGCACTCATCACATTTTTTCTGTGTTGTAAATGCTCCAAAGTAGGTTCAACTCATATCACAGACTCCTTTGATGTTTCAGTGAACTTGGGATGGCAAATTGAATTTGATGATGGTTCAGCACCTGCATGTAATGCAAGTTTGCACAGCCTGAATAAGCTTCAATTGTCCCTGACTACTTCACCTGAACACCAGACCATGACTCTAAGATAAAAGGATTTACTAGTTCATTAAGAGAGCCTGATGGTTGCCTATATTGTCTTCCCATATAGCCATAAATGGCTTTTAACTGTTAAAGATGGAATTGGGGACGTGCAGATCCTGCATACTCGGTTTTTCCACCGGCATCTCCTTTAAAAGTTGTCACTTAAAACCAAAGCCTCATGCCTCTCAAACTGGATACCGTCTCTTACTATCAGCTGGAACAATCTCTACTTACAAACTCATCCAGATTTGTACTGTATTGACTGGAGCAAACGTGGCCAGTTCTGTTGAATGGATGGGCTAGTACAGGACAGGGTTAGCTATTGAAAGACATATTTGTCTGACTCCCCTCCTTCTGAAAAAGACTTCCATCAAGGTGGTCATGGGATTGACTGGGAACAAGCAGCTGGATATCAAGCAGGGCATGATGTCCAGATGTTGTAACATAATTTACTGACTGGCTTTCAGATAAAATATTTGGGTTTGTAGCCTCTTTTGTTTGTAGCCCCAGTACATTTGATCAACTTTGAAATAAAGAAGCTTTGTAGTGGGTAGCAAGTATTAGATTAGCATCTGAAGCACCAGTCAAGCATCAGGACCCCTGTTGTATTTGGTGCGGTAAAAAGCACAGCAATTATTCATATTTCCCCAGGGGGCTCAGAATCCAGGATATGATATGTTACAACAGGTATATAAGGTGAACAGGGTAGGGAAGAGCAGGGAGAAGGAAATAGTAAAGTGACTGATCAGTTTTAGGGCTGTGCGAAATTTCGCCAACCATTTGGTTTTGACACGGTTTCGACTTATTTCGAGGTTGAAACAGTAAAATCGAAGCGAAACAAAAGCCATCAAAACAAAACGAGGCTAGTCAAAATGTTTCGACCATAGCGTTGGGGATGGGAAGGCAGTCAAGCTGTCCTGACTTCCCATCCCCTGCGCGAGATCCGGCAGAGGGCGGGGAGTCAGCCCAGCTGAGTTGACTCTCCATCCCCGGTGCTACATCGCGCCGGGGCGGGGAGTCAGCCCAACTGGATTGATTCCCTATCCCCCGCGCTAGATCATGCTGGGGGCGGGAGTCAGCCCAGCTGAGCTGACTTCCCACCCCCAGCATGATCTAGCACCAGGGATGAAAGTCCACCCAGCTTGGCTGACTCCCGCCCCCAGCGCAATCTAGCATCAGGGATGGGGAGTCAACCCAGCTGACTCCCCATCCCCAGCAGAACATCAAAACAGCGTCAAAACAATCTTTCTGTTTTGACGGAACGGAACAGCTGTTTCGAATCAAAATGAAATGTAAAATGGAATTCTGTTCCGCCGAAACTCAAGGCGAAACAGAACAGTGCCGTTTCGCACAGCCCTAATCAACATGCTGTAAAAAAGATGCCATTGCTCAAGTTGGCATTCCCTTTCAGAGTTTTGTTCATTTAAGGAAGCAGACGATGCCTTTTAGTCTACATTTATGCCTTTTATTCTAGAGAGAATGCGCCTATCTGCCTTGCCGAATAGCCATCACCTCTGAGTCCATATGCAGAATAGCCCCATTGCATGCTTGCTATTTCTTCTCTGCAGTGACCAGGACTGTGAAGAGTGTGCCAAAGGCAGTCACTCAAGCTCTGTCTTGTAATGTGCAGCCAGCGTCTTCCTGTGTGCATCTGAGTCACGTTCTTCTGCTTTTCAGAATTTAATTTGCCTCCGACAATCATTTCAGCATTTATTTACTACTGTGCCGCTTTTCTCCTGCTTTGTGCTTTATAGTATGTGACTGCTCTTTGCAGAGTTTGCTTTCCTGTTTACAAACACACCCTTATTACCTTATAATTCACCACTATAAATTGCGCTAACTTTTATTCTACCTGGAGTCTTAGGCTCAACTTGTTCCATTTTTTTTCTTGTCTTCTTTTTTAATGTGTATATTCATTGTCCCATCTCCTAGTTTTGTATCATCAACAAACTTGATTATTTTTACTGCCTGATCTTTTTTTGGGGAGATAATAGGAGATAATAGGAGAAGGGTTTTTGTTTACCAGTCATTGCAGCAATTGTCTTTGATTCCAAGCAGTCCTCTATCTTCATCTCTTGACACTGTCTGCACCATACCCATAGAGTATGCATAGTTAAATAAGGGATGGGATTCCTACATATTTGTCCTTGTTGCGCCACTGACTTATTCAAAATGGATGTTAGGCTATGTACCTCTGACAGAGGGGAGCTGAACAGTGGTTGATGTCTGTAAGGTACTTAGGAGTGAAGACACCTATATAATTATTCTTAAAATCATCACTGAAGTGACTGTGTCCATCCTCTTTGCCATAAAGTCAGGTGAACTAACAGTGTAGCCTTTTTCCTTACCTTGCATACCAGAATGAAAAACCTTTGACCTCTAAAAATACTGTTTACTGATAAAATGTATTCCGTGAATAACACAGGCATATTATAATGAGATAATGAATATTAATTGGTGTTTCTCTTATGCAAGATATGGATATAATGCTGCTATCGGCATGTTTTGTAGCACTCACCCACGCACCTATGTAAGCAAGCATTAGTGGCTGGTGTTGTCTGCACAGGCCCTTGGATGTCCAATGCCTAGAAATTAGTTTCAGTGTATGATCTAAAAATGATTAGATGAGTGTATTATCTGCAAATGATTAGATGAGTTCTAGTGGATTTAATTAAAGTGATCATGAGTGGTATTTGGTTCATTACACCTTTTCCTCCCCCAAGAATTGCAAGTATTTTAACAGTCTGCTAAATGGAAAGAGTTGAGTGAGTGTGGGTGTGCGTGTGCACGCATTCACACATGTGCCATATGTAATGGGATCTTTAATCAGGGTAATGGGAGTTTGATTTCTGACTTGTTTGGTTTACTTTTTCTTTAGGATGAGAGTAACTCATCAAAAGAAGGCTCGAATAAGACAAAAGGAAGCTCATTTAGGGACTCATGTAAAGATTCCTCATTGGGCAGCAATCTCCAGAGCAGGTATGAAATCTGTCTGATGAAAGGCATGAAACTAGCCTACGTATTTCACTACCGTGAAATCTATCTGCAAAATTTATGCCTACCTAAATTCATCTTCTATATTAAACTGTGAGATACTTTGTAAAATACCCACGCTTCTCTGCAAGTTAGTTCTACAAAGCTTTGCACCTAAAAGCAAAATACAGCTAATTATCATTGTGTCTCTCATACCGCTGTGATTGACACAGTGTCAACGCAGCTTTCGTAAATCCCCAATTTCAGGATTTTATTGGTCATAAAAAATAAACCTGGGGCGCTACCTTAAATTTCGTCATCTCAGAGGGTAAATGTAATTTTTTTATTTTTAAGTAATACGTGTCTATCATAGATTGTAGAAATATAAAAATGAATTGTGGTTTATTTAGTAGCTTGGAATTTTTTTTCAGGCACGTTCCTGAAAAACCTTTTTCCTTAACGATCAAGTGCTGTATTCCACGTTTCATTCATCCATGGTAGTGTAGATAAACAGAGTAGCCCACCATTTAGTTTGTGTTACAGATGATGCCCTAAACTTCAGGTCCTTTCTGGCTGTCCAAGTATTCTCTAGCACTGTTCATGTGCATAGAGTCAGGCTCTCATATCCTTACTCTAAGTGCACTGGCTGATTGCAACTGCAAAATTGTAGAGGTGATTACAGTTCAGTGGCACTCTGTGTCTATATTTAGCAGTTCATAAAACATTCTCTAAAAAGAATGAAAGGCACTTCATACATGTAAAACATTAAGCGTATATGCCTTTCCTTTTTGTTTTGAAGTATACTGAAAATGCATTGCGACCCTTAGCTGGATTTGACCTAAAAGAATTGTAAAAACGTAGCAAAATGCAACAGAAGCTTTCATAATGACAAGAATGACCTTTGCATACACTAACAAAGGAAGTTCCTTATACTGTGTAGTCTACTGGCTTTAAAACTATGATTATAATTTTAAAAGCCATTTTTAGTCTTGGAAATTGGGGTATAGCTATATCTAAGGAAGCCAGTAAAAAATCTTACCTTCTTGTGACGCAAAGCACGGATTCGTCCAGGTTTCAGAGCTACTTAAGTTGCTGGTAACATCCCTATACCTATTGTCCTCTCCTTTATTCTGTGAGTGTCCTGTTTGCTCCTTCCCTTTTTGTCCTTATAGCTGCAGCAAACAAAGTGTGTTGTGTATGAGTTTGTTTTGAGGCAGCTTTGGGACTTTGAGATTGATGCTGAACCTTCAGCCCATGAATAAAAGAAGCAACATATCCTAATACTACAGCAGCAAGAAATGATCGGATAGGAAATGTGGCACTAAGTTGGGGAAAGTACTGTACCTCAGGGTTAGATGCTGGCAGCACTAATCCCACTGCACAAATGGGGGAGATATGTAAGAAGTCAAGGCCAGCCTGACTGCTCAGTTTTTGCCACAGTGTACAAAAGCAGGGTACAAGGACAGAGACAGAGTTCAAGGAAGGACATAGTCCTGACGATCAAATGTTGGCAGTAAAGTAGATGATTGAAAACCACTGGGAGTATGGAAAAGGTCCGTGTTTTGTGAAATATTTAGCATATGACTCACTCTAAGAAAAACGTCTGGGACTCCTAAAGGAGATGTATGAGGGAACAAAGGCATGTGACAGGTATTTCAGAGTGGGGAGTTGCGTGCAAAAATCCTGCTGTTAATATGATTTGTGTGTGTAATTCCCAGATCACTTAGCTCAGATTGTCAGGATGGTTTCCAGTTAAGACAAGCAACTGACTTTTCTCTAACATGACTGTCTTTTTGTCCAGACCGGTGCTGAATATCTCATGAGCAAGGAATGACTAATGGAAACACACCAAAAATAGTGAACCGATCAAGGTTTTACATCCTTTATCTTCACTGCAATATAGAGTTTGCAGGCATTACTGTTGTTCTTTAGGAGTCGCTCTGCGTCCCCTCATTGGGCACGCGCAGACAAGCGTGCATATGCATTTCCCTCGGAACAAATAGCAGCAGCAGCAGCACATAGTTTTGCCACGCTGCTTGTCCCTGGGGAACGCACCTGCATGTGCTGTCTGATACAAGGCAAGTTGCCCTGGGTGGGGTAGGGGAGGCTGGGGCCCGCACCTTGGTAAGCCCCAGCAGCTTTACCTGGGGTCCTGGGGGGCTCCTGCAGCTCCAGCAGTGGCAATCTGGGCATGTGGAGCATGGTCAGGCTCCAGATTTGGGCCACACACATTGCCGCTACATGCACCACCCCTCTTTCTTTCTACTGCGTTTTTTTTTGTTTTGACACTAGGATCTCCTGGTGTCACAAAAACCCCTCTGTGCTGCAAATTAGCAGCTCAGCGGCTATATGCATAATATCATATAATGCAGCAACATGTCCATAACGATCTTTTGATGCGGGTGCAAGGAGCTGGGGTTTCTTTGGCTCAAGCTTTTCTTGGTAGCTGGAATTGCTGGAACTGGACTCTGTAAATAAGGAAGTAAAACTGCTGGAAATGTAATCCAGGAAAATAAAGGTTGAATATTCAAGTAATATATATGGGCTAGACCACTGGTAGGCAACCCATGGTGCAGGTGCCAGAGCATGGCATGCAAAGGCGTTTTGCTTGGCATGCGTGCCTCGGTGGATGTGGGGGAAGGGGCTGGGCTGCACTGGCACTACAAGAATTGGGCCCCTTGTGGCTCCCCTGTCATCCACCCTTGGCATGCCAGCATCTTACAAGTTGAAGTTAGGGGTTTTTTTGGCACTCTGCCCAAAAATGTTGCCGACCCCTTGGCTAGACTGTGGCTTCTCTCGTGGAAGACAGGTAATATTATCAGCTGTGAAAAGGAGAAAAAATAAATCTAATATTTAGACCTATCTCAGTCCATGCAAGGTCTGTCCAGTTATACAGGCCTCTCAAAAGGTAATATGCAGTTGTTAGGCTTTTTTGTTGGTTTGAAATTATCTGCAGGTTGATTTCCTTTGTATTGCATCCATAAAGTGCAGTTTGGTCCGTCTGTCAGGGAAAGCAATATTTAATTTCCAGATAGTCCAGTAAGCTTCAAATTTTGAAGATTAAGTTTTAGAGCCATATAGCCTTTTAGCATTTTTCAGTCTTGTGCCCACATTGCATGTAGGCACAACTGATATAGTTTATTCACCTGAGAAGTCTGGTCATGTTGCTGTGTTTATTTTGGTATGGCTAGCAAAGTAAACCCTTGTGAATAGTTTCACTTATGTGGCTTCACTCATTTTATCCTACCAAATTACAAGTACTAGCTTCAGGAAAAAATGGTAGGACTTCGTTGACCCAACCAAGTATTGCAGAAACAAAACATTGACAATCTACCTCTGGAATCAAATCTTTTATTTCTTAGAGAAGAAAATAGCCATCACCAATCTCATATGTCCCATTTAGTTTCCCACTGTAAAGGTTGCAGTATAGGCCGCTCTGAAGGCTCTCGAATAGGAATCTGAGTCTTTAGAAAATAGGTAAGCATCTCAAAAGTACCAAAATCTCATTTCCTGAAGAGACTTAGACTCCTGCAACACTTGCATATATTTGACAATTTTACTAGAGCCACACTGGCTTTTTAAAATTTGGGATGATCTGTTCATTTCCAGCATGTAACAGAAAATGGTTCTGGCTCATTCCATTATGTTTATAATATATTTAAACCTTTATTTCAGGCATTCTAAGAGAAGGCAAACAATCCATGAAGTTTAGATATGAATATATTAAAATCCGTCACTGTTTGATAATGGCTTTCAAGAAATAATTTCCACTGGATGGTTTTAGGCGAGAATGACTTTGGAAGCTATAGTTATTTGAGAAACTGTTCTTAAAGCAGGGGCACCTGCTGGGGAGCACAAGTAACAGCCTATTGCCGTTATATCATGATGTGTTTGGTAAAATATTTTGTAATGTAAGATGCTTAGGGTAGAACACTTTACAGCTGTCACCAAAGCCATTTAATATAACTTGAATAGGTTGCCTTGTTATTGCAATAGTGGCTTGTAGTTACATTTTGACCTTCAAAGGACATACAAATCCTACTAGGTTGCTGTTGCATGCGGCTCAATACCTATTCACTCTGCCAGTCAAAACACAGCAAAATGACTGCATGCTGTTCCAAAGTGAATCCTCTCTCTATTAAGGAGGTTTTCCTAAAGAACCCTTGGTTACCTTTAAGTAGGACTTTTGTGGATTAATAACATGAGCTTCCATTTCACAGGAGTAATTGCAGTATAACTTTATTTCTATCTCAGAAAATTCTCTCTATCAGCAGTCTATCTGGATTTACACTGTATTTGTAGGCTTATGTTTCCTCTTACTTTCCTTGATTTGATCGTTGTGGCTTTGCTTATGTCGACAGTTCATCCGTGCAGCAGAACACCACCGTTCACTTAGATGATGGTGAATATTGGTCCAGTCGAGCAGCTGACTATAAAGGAAAACCTCACAGAGCTATCTTTGAAGACAGCCTGGAGAAAATATACAGAAACATGTACAAAAAAGCTTCCAGCACTATTTTGGAAAGAAAATTACACTCCTGATAGCAATCCTACTGGAAGTGCATAGTACAGAAGATTAATATTTTTAATGAAAATTATTTTTTGCATAACAAATATTTGTATTCCCATTTTTTAATGTGTAATGTTCACTGGGAAGACCTGTTATGGGCTAGTGGGGCCTTTGAACAGGAACCCCTAAAGGAAAAGCATTGAGATTGAAAACAGATTTCCAAGCTATTGAACACTTGAATGCGGTGCATTATCCCCTTAGAAAGCCAGTGTGGTGCTTTTTCACCACCACTTCTCTTTTCTGACTGCTCAAATTGGAAGCCAGTACTAAGTCTTTAGATCAGGAGTGGCCAGCCTGTGGCACAAGTGCCACAAGGGGCATGGCTAGCCCCTGTGTGCAGCACACAGCAGCAGAGAGGGGATAGGCAACACAGCAGCAGATGGAGAAGGAAGCAGAAGGCAGAGCAGGAGATCAGGCAGAGAGCACAGGGCAGAAGAAAGAGCAGGGGATTGGGCAGAGTGTACAGAGTAGAAAGCAGAGCAGGAGATCAGGCAGAGGAAGGGTACCCGAGTGGCACTTGGAGAGGGTGTGGGGCTTATTTGTGGCGCTCCTGTCAAAAAAAGTTGGCCCCACTGGTCTAGATCGTCATCAAGGCAGGCTTTCAGTGAGCCCAGCTTTACTTAAATTATTAAAACTGATACAAAATCTGTTTCCAAGTTTGGTAATGGGTGATGGCAGGAGGAGGGAGAAAGAACAAGTCAGAATATACCCTTGTCTGTTCAAGAGCTGCATCTAGAAGGTAAATGCCTGGTCATACATGGTGTGGAAATGGAGAAAGATTTCCTGCCCCCACCCCAAAGCAAATGCTTCCTAACATTTCTAAGCATGAAGTTACTATTAATGTCAGACTCCTTTAAAAACAAAAATGAAACAAAACCACTCTCTTTGGAGTGGAAGGATGTCCCTTCTTCCCACAGCCCAGTTCACTGCCTTGAACAGGGTCCAGATTCTTTGTTGAAAGCAGCAGTCGCTTTTGCTGACATGCTTAAGAGGTGGGGAGGGGGTCGCAGATGCCCAGAGCTAGGCAATGAGCTCGTATGCCCAGTGCAAACATTTTGAAGTCCCTGCATCGCAATCCCACCACATTTGGAGTCTGTCCTTACAAGCCTGCTGGGGCTCTATTGGCAGGAACATCTTTTTTGTTAAAGGCCACCAAATGTTCTTCAGCAGTTCGATGCTTTCCCCGGAGAGGTAACCTTCTCAGCCTCCAATTGAACAGATCTCACATCAACAGGCCAGGGCAAATTGCCCGTCTGTTGAAAAAGCTGAATGACTGAAAAGGGCAAGAGTGTCCTTCTCCCGCTTTGTTTAAAATAGAGGAGGGAAACAAATGTGCGTCCTGGCTCGTTCACTGAATAAGTAGGCGGCGGGGGGGGGGGGGGGGGGGTGGTGGGACACAAC